CCACCAGGGATGGCCCGATACCTTTTTTTTTTTAAGCTCACTAATATCTTACTGCTGAATATGCATTGTTAAGAATCCTGGTAGCAACAGCATGCTGTATTAGTAGAAAAACCTGCCTTAGGTTTATAAAATGTAACTGTTTGTCTTCACTGTTACTAAAATAAGCTCTGTTGACATAAATAAGGCAAAAATGTAAGGACGCTATCCTTTGAAAATTAGTAAGGCATATGACATGATTTCAATTTTGTGACATTTCAAAAACAGAACGTTTTAAAATTAAGAAAGATTTAGGGCTTTGTAGTAGGAATTGGAGCATTTTGTTTTAACATGTTTGACAAATTCTGAGCAATAAAATCTAAAGCAGGGATTCTTACTCTGCTTATCTAGGTTTGAAACATGCCAATATTTTTGCTCCACTTAATATTCTCATGCATCTATATTTTTACCATTGGCCTTGCAACTGTTCTTAGGGGATTATGTGAATTGAGTGCATAATGATGACTATAATTCTCTCTTCTAGATTATTAAGAAGGAATTGTATCTTATTTTTTATGTCAGCTATGACAAGAAACTAGTTTATAAATATTTTTGAATAAAACAGAAATAGGTATTTTATATAAAGACCTTGATAAATTTAATGTCAAATATCAGGTTATTATTTAAGATATTTAGTATTTAGTTTAATATTATATTCTCTTATTGCAAAAGTGCATTGTTAAGAATTTGCAAGACTTTATATTTATTAAATATCAAATATGTGTCAGATTCCTTGGTGAATATTTAGCAAACAAAACTAAATTAGACATTCCCTTATGACTGAACAGTTAATGAATAAATGACAGTAAGCAGTATTTAGGACAGATAACCTGATGGATATGAGTACATTTAAGGAATGGTTGGATTCATGAGACAATTTAGTATTTAGAAGTTCAATGAGATTAGCATAACTAAATGATTTTATACTATGACCTAGGATTAATAGGTAATAGAATTTATTAACTCGATGGCCTCGCTGGTGGCTCAAGGGCTACAGTCTCAGTGTTGTCAATTTATCACCAACCACTGAGGTCTGAGATCTATCCTGGGCCCAGGAACTGACCCACTGTGCAACAGACCTATCCTGTCTTGCTCACTACTCCCATCAGCAGTGGTAGATCAGCTTTTCTGCTCCCTACTCTATTTCTGGTAAATCCACTCATACAAGCCCCCCTCCATCTCTGGTCTACACCCCAGTTATTGTATGCAGAAATAAATAAAAAGCATTTTTAAAAGATTTATTTATTTATACATACAAGAATGGAGCACAGACCATAGATGAGAGGAGGGGTGGTGAGAGGATTCACCAGAGACAGAGTTGGGGGTAGAACAAGCAGAAGTACTGAAACACACTGCTGAGGGGAGCAGCGGGAGGGCCAGGAGAGGTCTGCGACGCCATGTGGGTCATCCCCCTGGCTCAGGATGGAACTCATGCTGCAATGGCTGCAATAGCTTCATAGCCTAAGCTCTAAGCAGTTGCAACACCAGGGTAGGCCCTAAAAAAAATTATTAACTCACCAGAAGTGATCTTGACATTGGTGATGTGTTGGGGGCAACTGAACTGATTGAAAACTGAGTAATGACAAACAGCCTGAAAGATAAATCTTATGAGCTTGGGCAGAAATTGGACACACCTGGATATATAATTTGACTTTAAGTATGTATTTCTCCTAATTTGAATAAAGAGAGTGTTAGTACTCACTTCAGAGAGTTATCATAAGAATCAGGAAAGTAATTGAATAGCATCTGACATGCAAAGTTCTGTGACTATGCTTAGCATCTGCAAGTGCTTATGAACATTAATGAGTCTCATCAATAATATGAATAAATTTCAGTATTTCACAATACTTCAAGCAAGGTATATATATATGTGGTGATTCTCATGCTTGCTATAAATAGTGTTTCATTTATGAGTTATCACTGGGCTAATATGTTCATAAGAACCCACATAGGCAATTTCCCTAACAAAGGATAGCTTACAGTCTCTTGTAGAGAGAGGAAATAGATATATAAACAAGGAATTTCAATATTCTAATTTAATGTTTATGGAGAATAATAATAAAAATAAAATAGAGAAGATCAAAAGAAAACACAGTCTAATCAGGTCTTGAGGGCAGGAAACTAGCAGTGTTATCAAAGACGATTGGGAACACATGAAGAGCTAAATAAAATACAAAAGACTGAGCATAGAAGTTGAAAAATCACAATGATTTGCTGACTGTGTTATTGATGTCCATATTTACATTAATTTTTTTGATTGATGTTCATGTTTTCCATCAAAATTCCTCTTCATCATACAACATATTTTAGGAGCTTATTTTAATCCTCAAGGATAACTTTCCATTGCCTTAAAACTTCTTTTAGAGGTAAACAAAAGACCTAATTAAATATTTTTATATCATTATGAACAAAATAGATGTCATAGATGAAGTTAGAAATCAGAAATTCTAGAAGCACATAAGTTTATTGAAGGGTTTATACTATGCTCTAAATCAATATACTTAAAGACCAACTGATTAAATTGGAATTCAAGTTCAGAAAATTTAAGTATATTATGGACTGCTCTTAAATTAAAAAAATAAATAAAATACATTTTTCATGACATATCAAGCATGTCTAAAAGGCTTCAGCAGGGAAAAGAGAGGTAATTATCAGTATTCTTCTAGTACTATGCTCAGGCAGAACAAAAAGCTAAAAGATTCATCAGAGATACTATTTTTTCCCTATCAATGGCATTCCAGTTCCGCAGACAATGTAAGGTATTTAGATTCTTCATACTCTAAATAGGTTACACTTCTGGGTCCTCCTCCTCCTTTCTTTACTAAAATAAAGCAGTGATTAATGCATGATGAAACAAACATATTTCATTCTTCTGAGCCCTACCCAATAGTCAGAGAACTATTAACTTCATACTAATGTGAATGAATGTGAATGAATACATTATGTGTCAAATGCATTGATAATTGGAATATCGATTTTTACATGTATAACATGAATTCAACATATAGGCATAAACATTTTTGTGAACAGTTTTATAGTCCAGTTTAGTACTAATATAATTTCAGCTTGGAAGTACTATTCTAATTTTATTAAAGGGTGAGTCTAAATATTTTAATATATGCAGGAGTATAAATTTTTTCAATTCTTGACTAAATGTGTCTGCGATAATATTAACAATGACTTCGGCAGAGATTAACCTGTATTAGATGTACATTACTGCATATACTTTGGTTTTTCTTCTAGGTAAGGGAGCGACTGAGGGTTTCTTTAGAAAGAGTCTCTGCACTGGAAGAAGAACTAGCTGCTGCTAATCAGGAGGTAACATACCAAACTTTCTCCTCTTTTGAGGTGCAATATCGCTAACTTATATATCCTTTGTCTTTCATGTCACCTTTAATAAAACTGTCACAGAAAATAAATCACATTCTTTATATATACTGAACAAGACTTGTTGAAACTAGTTGCCAGAGTCATGTTTTCTGATTCCTGATAATTCAGATCTGTTGCTAAATTATTTAAGAGGAAAAATTATTAAGAGCTTGTGACATGAGCCAGTACAATGGAGGTTTAGAAAGGCACCATTCAGAATGCCAGTAATTTGGAGAACTGAAACACAACTGCAAGATTGTAAACCATGTCAAATAGCTGTTACACTTACAGAATGTTACATATTAACTACTTGAAGATAAAAATATATTCCCCCTTGGGTCTGAAACCTAAAGGCATTGTCCATGTGGCATCTTTGAATCTACTTCTCTTGCTCTCATTCATGAGTCTAAGAAAGTATTTTATAATCATCACTGAGTTTTAAAATTTGTTTTTTCTTTAGAAAATTTTGCTTTTCTTTATTATTAATGTAGTTCAGCCTATAGATCAAGTTAAAATGAAGTTCAGCCTATAGATCAAGTTATATTTGATTTATATATATATAGGTTTATATAAATATCATATGGGTTAAATATTTATCAAATGCTCTACGTACAGCCCACTAAAATAGCCTCCTCTCTCTCTCTCTAATAATTACTTACCAGCCTACCACTTTATTCCAGTAGTTTGTTCCATTAATATAATTTAGCATTATTAATAGTGGATACATTAAAATAATACAGCAAAATCTTCCTACTTTAGATAACTAAAGAAGTCAGAAGATAAGATCATTTGTTAGTTAATTCTTAGCCCTATCAAGGAATCATGAAGATAATATTTATGTTCACATTACACAAACAAATGCACATTTACTTTCTTAATTTTTTTTATTAAGTAATGGTTTAAAGCACTATAAATTTTAGAGGTAAGTATTATAAATCAGCATCTCAAGATTCTAAATTATGATCTCCACCAAAAGTTTAGTTTCTATCCATCATCATATCATTGATTCTCTTAACAATTTGCCCATCCTCCTGATCCTTTCTTTATGTCCTTATGATCTAAACTTTTGTTTTGTTTCATTTTTTGTTTGTTCACTGGTTTTGTTTCCTTATCTTCCTTATATGAGAAAAACTATATAATATTTTTCTTTCTCTAACTGATTTAATTTCACACTATAGCCTTAAGTTCATCTTGTTATCACAAATGAAAAAAAAAATCCTTATTTGTTATAGCTAAGTAGTATTCCATTCTGTATTATACAACATCTATTTCCATTCATTCATCCATGGACATTTAAGATGTTTCTAACTCCTGCCTGACTGTGGAAAATAATACTGCATGAATCATAGTGGTATATATATTCTTTTAATTTAAGTTTTTATATTTCAGTAAATACCCAGAAGTGGAATAGCTTGAGATCTTTTAAGAGTCTCCATACTGTTTTCCAGAATGACTGTACCGATTTACAATCCCAATGACATTGCATAAGGATTTCCTTTTCTCTACACTTTCATGAAATTTGCTTTTTCCTGTCTTTATATATATATACCATTTTCAGGTTGAGATATTATCTCACTGCAATTTTCCAAATAATAAGTGATGATGAGCATTTTTCCATGTGCTTGCAGTCCTCTAAATATTTTCTTTAAAAGTCTCTGCTCAGATCCTCTGTTTTTTTTTTTAATTGGATTTTTTGTTTTGTTGCTGAGTTATTTGAGTTCCTGTGAGATGTGAGTATACTTTCCCATTCAGTAGATTGCCTTTTCATTTTCATGATGGTTTATTTTGCTGTACAAAAGCATTTAAATTTGACGGGAGTCCATTGTGTTTATTTTTACTTTTGTTTCCCTTGCCACTGGAGTCAAATTTCCATGGACATTTTTAAGTTCATGAGCTTATCACTTATGTTTTCTTCCATGTATGATTTCTTCTATTTTATGATTTCAGTTTTACAGTCAAGTCTTTAACACACTTTGAATTATTTTTTGTGTATAATGGAACTAGTGGTCTGGTCTCATCCGGTAGTTTTGACTGGACAGTTTTCCCAGCTCCACTTTTCTTGAAGAGTCTTTTCCTTTCTCTGTTGTATGTTTCTGACTTTTTGACACAAATTAACTGACCATATATATGCAGATGTTTAGACTTTGAAGTATGTTCCATTGAGCTGTGTGTCTGCTTGTATTCCAATACCACAATGTTTTGGTTACTGTTGTTTTGTGGTACAGTCTGAAGTTAAGGAATTTGGTATCTCCATTTTTGTTCATTTTGCTCAGAATTGCTTTAGATATTTGGATTTATTTATTTATTTATGCCTCCAAACAAATTATATTATTGCTTGTTTTATATCCATGAGCAATACCTTTGGAATTTTGATAGGAATTTGCTTTAGGTAACAAATGCACATTTTAAAAGCATGCTAAAAATCATGTCTAGAAAAAGCACTTTTGTTCTTTAAAGTAATCTAAGTCAATTTAATGAGCTTATGTATGCTGAATTAATTTAAACTTTAGAAATAATAGACTTTTAACTACGGAAAAATAAATTCTGTGTGATTTAAGGGCTGTGGCAAGAGGTTTTAAAAAATAAGAGAAAGGATTTCCTTGGTGAACAGAGCAGTTTAGCAAATTGTATGGTTTGAAAAAAATAAAAGGAAATGAGAGATTATTATCTCTGAAAGAACCCTGTTTGTCTAGGAGAATAGGTAAATTATCTTTGCAGTGAGTGTATTCATACCTGCTGCATTCAAGAAGACAGTATTAAATATTTATTCATTATATATTTCATTTTTGTTGATTTTGTTCAGAAAGTAGAAGTCAACGAGCCAGGTGAAGACTTCAAGTGTTACCTATATATAAAAGTTATTGTGGTGGTCTAATATTGGGATGAGGCCAGAGCTCAAGGAGTAAAAGAAGTCATAGGAAGAATTTCAGGCTCTGTGTTTTTAAGGGATTTCTAACTGGGGGGTGCCACCTTCTATTAGTTATCTGCTGGCATGTCTGGTCTTTGGCACTGACCTTTGACACAGAGCATGTTGTGGCCCTGTTTCTGCACTCCTGGAACTTGAGCTAATTTTTCTGGTCGTGGTACTCCATCTTATGGCCTGATTCCCCTGGCAACCTTATCCTTCCATTATTTATTTAAGACTGGCAAACTTGTCTGCTGATCAAGGAGTGAGGTTTAGTCTTTTACCTTATTAAATGCTACCCCAACAGGCATTACTGATATATAGTAAAAATATAATACATATTTGTATGTATGAATATAGAGTTGTTAAAGATGATATTATGAACTTTATCATCTGTATATCATCGTTCTCTTTCTGTCTGAGTTTTCCGTGTCTTATAGCTCTCTGATTCTACCTGTCTCTGTCTCTCCTCTCATTTTTACAGATGATTCTAGAGTTATCACCCTCTGATATATTTTCTTTGTATAATTTCTCCCACAGAGGTCCCATCTATTTTTCATCCATCCAAGACTCCATGCTGTCCATGATAGCTTTAGAAAAGAAACCAAACTTCATAGCTTGAAGTTCATGTTTTGCTGAATTCTACAAGATATTAAATACTAGTTTGGCATCTCCACAGGGTTGCTAACAACTGATGATATTGCTATCTGCCACAGGTGTCCAGCAGGGAACAGAGTGGGGTGACTTTAATACAACTCAGGGTTTGCTAATCAAAGAAGCTCCCGAGGGGCTGTAGCCACATATAGGGTGATTTTGTCAACATACACAAAGGCACCCCAAGTGCCAGTGGGCCTCAGTCTCCACCTAGTTTTCCCAAATTTACCCTTTGTGTCTCAGTGGTACACTGATGCAGTGAAATAGTTTTATTATATTTTCTTCAAGAAAAAGATCAAGAACATTATAATAAATTAAAAGGAAATACTTGTATAGAATGACCCCAATTTTGTGCAAATACAAATAATAACAACATATTACGTAATGGGATTAGAAATGTAATTTTAGATATAAATACCAAATTCTTAATTTTAATTTTAATTGTTTCTGGGTTTTGTAAGCATATTATATATATATATATATTATATATATATATTATATACACACATATACACATGTACATATAGGTATGTATATATACTTATATGTGTGTTTATATGTATAACATTATACATATATGTCTAACGTATATAAGCATTAACATATGATGTTAATATATTTTATTAAGTTTTCATTATGCTTATAAGCAGATAAAGCAATAAAGATATTTTAGAATCAGATCACATTTTCAATACCCAAGCATGCAATTGATTAATCATTTTAACAATAGTAAATAATTACTGAGTGCTTTAATTTTTCAGACATTGTGTGTGTGTCTGTGTGTATGAGTTTGATAATAGGTGTTATTATTTTCATATGAACACAGAGATGTTGTTTTTCCTAATGAAAATGTGGTTAATTTTTCATTTGTCTTAACTAACAATAAGTTTTCATGTTTTTTCTACTATACCTTCTGTCAAACAGTTATTCAAGATTTAACCTGTTATAGTCATATTATTTTTCATATTTTTTGATACATAGTGTTTATTTATATAATATATGCCACCTTGACATATTAATACCATAATGCTATGATATACTATATATGTTAATAATATAATGATATATGTTATATAGACCTGTGATATGCCATAAAGAACTTCTTCAGTGATTCTAAACTAGAAATACAGTTTCAACTTTCAGATTGTCCAAAGTCTGTTAAATTATAGTATTCATTGTTTTTGAAAGTAACCAACATTTCCACTGCCTCTAAAGCCTTTTGCTAATATCCTTCTTGGAATGCCTCCACAACCCCAGTCGCCCATTGAAATCATGCTACCCCACTTAAAATAAGCTCAGACACCACCTTTTTAGTGATTTTTTTGTGGTTTCTTGCCAACAGTCATTCTTGCTTAGTTTAAATTTCTAAAGCTTATTTCTTCAGCATTTA